TCAGGAGATTTGGTGATACCACTACAGTGTTGTTTAACATTTCCCTTGCTGGAGGCTCTGATATGAGTATATAAAGCCCAGCCTCCAGCAAAATGGCAACCTACATGCAGTGCAGTATAAGGCATGGTACATTAAGAAAAGATCAACTGCAAGGAGGTCACAGGCAATACTGGTGACTAGTCCTCTGCCTGCCTTTTTGACCCCTGCATTGCTAATGCTGGCCAGTAAATCCTATTAAAGGACCAGCAGGGACATAGGAGGGGTGGAGTCAATCTCAGCTTTTACAGGAAAACTCGAGCTTTGCAAACAACTTCAGCTGTCTACATGGATCTTCTGATCATTTTGACAAAGATTAAACTCTGCTTATGGGTGTTTTCATCAAACGCTAGTTCAAACTGCACATGTTAGTGACAGGATTACTACCTTCTACTACTACTACAGCAACATGGATGGTCACCCCCTACAATACTTCCTACAACATTCTTATAGGCTGCACACTAGAGCTGCAACAACTAATCGACTAAATTGATATTAATCGATGATGAGAATAGTTGGCAACTATTCTCATCATCGATTCGTTGGTTGGGGGAGAGGGAAATTTTTTAATACAACCAATCAATTAGTTGAAAAAATAATTGGGTAACGAATCGATTATGAAAATAATAATTAGCTGCAGCCCTACTCCACACACATGCATTGCCTCATATCTAAATGTGACAACATCCAGAACAGTTATGAGTCAAGCTGTAATGAACACAAACAAGTATTCATAGGTGCATGTTCAACCCTGAAACTGAGAAACAGTTGTTCACTTTTTCCACAGTTTCAAATATTTTCTTCAGGGCTCCCACACCACCGTCAAACTCTGGCCATGCACCTTGACTGGTCACTCTTGGAGAGCCATCTACCAGTGTATGGTCATTTTAAATATGAAGCTACTACTACAGAAGCTAGAGCCAATTAATTTTAAACCTTCTTGCCCAAAGGCAGCCATCCTTCCACAGGGAATACAACAAACTCACAAGACGTGCTGCAGGCATGTAACATAAGTAATCAGACTGGGAAATAAACACATGCCACATGGGTGCTAGGTCTGCTAATAAATATTTATATTAGCAGTGGTCTGAACAAAGCTACAAAAAAACTTTGCAGAGTGGAAAAAGTGATGGTAAGCAATTAAAGTTGAATAAACTAAAACTGCAAGAAGAAGAGTTTTAGCTGTAACGGGCCAATGTTTGGCGATTCTTTATTAATCACATACGGCAAGAAGATCTCCACATGCTTTGTAACCAGTAGCCCCTATGTTCCACATTCCATGGGAAGACTGCAGCCCTGTGTGGCAACCTTAGCTTAAGGTCACAACTCCTGTGTTTCCCAGTTAGCCATGTTTCTAATTTATTTCCTCTGCTCATTAAAACACTGAAATGTTCTGTCTCGCTTAACAGATGGTTCTTTCAAGTTTTGTTACTATTCCAAAATCTTTAGAGGACCTCGAATTTGTGTACTTAAAACAGGAAGCATACTGAAAAAAAAAAGAAATCCTAAGGATGTGCACATCTATGTCTAATGCCAAACAATCTGGAAACCATGGCCACTTGGAAATAGTTCCATCAAAGTGACAGAAATCATTACACTGGTGTTGCAGCAATAAACAGATTTTCATTCCACATGGTACTCGGCTTGTGCTGAGCAGGCTGATATTATGTAGAGTGTAATTTTTTTTTTCTCTGCTGCAGATAAAAACTAATTGATTCAATCATTCCAGGGATGGAAATCCCTCAGGTGCAGCAGAATCTTTGGTAGTGTCAGATTGTGACGTTGATAGCTTTAAATTATGGAACTAAAAAAGCATTTTTATGTACAATGTAAAGAAAAAATACATATAAAATAAAACCAGATCCCTACAAACCTGCAATAACAACTCAGCAGAAAAGCAACAAGAGATTGCCCACATTAAAGGAGAACTATGTGGTTAGGGCTTTTCCCCATAGTTCTCCAAAGGGTAACGGGAGGACACAAACTAGCGTCCTCCCGTCACCCAAAGCTCAGTATACAGCGAGCTACAGCTCACGGTTTACCGAGACGCCGCAGCTTAAACGGATCCCGACAATTATGTCTGGATCCGCCCAGCTGCGTGATAGCTGGCTCTGTCTATCTAGAGGCAGAGCCAGCTGTGCCCCTCTCCCGTACGTTCCGCCAGTCAGCGCTGGAGGGTCGGAGCGGGGAGGGGGGAATCCAGCCACTCCCCTGTCACGGCTCTCCGCCGTGACAGGATCGAGAAGTGAGCGAACGCCGGTATGTGTTCACATACTTCCCGATCTACTGAGCCGACCTGTAACAGTTTCATTGTCACAGGTCGGCTAGAACTATGAGGTGAGTGAAAAGCACTCACCTCATAGTTCTCCTTTAAACAAAACGCAGACACCCCCTTTAAAGGAGAGACTGTCACTTTGCCTATTAAGGGCAATGACAGTTCCTGCACATTGTTCCCTTCCGCAGGCATGTATACTTATCCAGCCTCACTTCCCTGATATCTCCCCACAATGCAGGAACCCTCATTAAAGGTGAAGGGCTTCCAGATATGAGGGAGCCACATGACCTTACCTATACCACAGTGCTCAACCTTGAGTAGCCAATCACATGGCCTGAACACTATCACGTGGAAAGTGCATTGATGCAGAAGCGCATCTACAGAAAACAGCACCAATGGCAAGAGATTAAATTGCACCCCTTTCCAAAATCTGACAAAGATTAGATTAATATAATCAACGCAAATCTTTAATCAAAAAGTCACCAGTGTCATCATAGTCACCTTGCATCAGAGTCTAATGTAAGAGGGGACTCTGATGTACAGGTGGACAATGGGGACTTGTTAATTTAGGATTTGAGTTTGATTCTATGGTAAAGTTATCTAAAATATGGGTGTCAGTAGCTGAGGGGGGTCTATGCCCAAAGTACGCCCTTACATGAGTCCCCAAAGCCCTAAAGACCCTGATGTAAGGGGGGACCTTCAGGATTTTATTTGATATATTTATAAACATAACTTTATCATAACAGAGACAAATAACAAAATGAAAACGCCCCGAACATTCCCACAGCCTAACATCCTCTGGTGGCCTCGCCTCTGTAGTAAGAAAATCACAGCATGGCACATAGTACTGTATGAGCTCTGGCAACAGTCAACACTAAAGTTTAGGCAGGAATGCAGCAGCGGGGAGGGAGCTGGTTGAGTAAGTATACATGCCTGGGGGGTGGCTATGTGCAGACATTGGTCACTTTGAATGAACAAGGTAAGGTGACAGTGTCTTTTTAAAAGCAGAAGGCCATGAAAATATTTGCTAACAGTAAAATGATTGTAAAGATGGCAATCAGTATAGGAATTCCTTCTTGCCTGCCTCTATTCATATGTTCTCCATATTTACATGTGGAGGTCTAAGAAACACTTCCAATGTCAAAACACAGTTGGACTAGATCAGGCTTTTGCCGAGTAGTGTTGGAAGGAACATCTTAACTCCTACATTTAAGGTTTGACTACTTCATGAATCATTGACCTGGAACGGAATAGATTAGGCCCCGACTCGGCTGGCAGCATGCATGTTCCACTCACTACCTTAGAATAGATTAAACCCAGAAGCAGTCAGGCAACCAGCATTTTCAGGAGGTGCCAATGGCAGCCTACATATTCCTGTCATTATTCAGGCTGAGCTAGGGGGGCCAGGAATGTGAAATATGGACAACAAAAATGGTAAAAAATGAGCCATATTAATATTTACTGTGAAGAAAATATTACAACAACTCAGACATATTTAGTGAAAACGCTACTTTTTGTTTAAAAGTAGTTTTGAGATAGGATGGTAGATTTTTATCATCAGGAAACGTCAATCTAAGTTTGTAATTCTCTCAGTTATGTACAATTCGCATAAATGTTTCACAGACAGTATGGGAGCAGTCTGAAATATTCATACATTTAAAAAAAAAAAAAAAAAAAATGACAATTTAATATGTACACTGTCTCTCATAAACAAAATGGTCTGCACTTACAGATGCTAGGAATCTACCCTCAGACCACGATTTTATGACAGTATCACCAAGTCTTCACTGCTTTACATGTGGAAGAGCAGGAGGACGGCTTGGGTGATAATATGCATGACTGAGCACTTATAAAAGGATGCTGTTTTGTTAAAAGTACATTCCACTTAAACAAACTCTACAAGTTACAAAAATGGAGCGAGTAAGTGCTAATTCTAAAGACCTAACTACAGCCAAAAGATTTTCTATTTTTAGTTTTGGATAGAGTTGGGAACAGATAATATTTACCCTCTGAAAAGGTTTCCCAAAAAGCTATCCAATATTAAATTGTCAATAGGCTGCCATCGGTGACCTCCTGAAAATACCAGTTGCCTGACTCCTAGTGGCTTTAATGTATTCTGGGTTCGTAACTGGAACCCAGCAGCAACCAGGTCCTAATCTGTATAGTTGTTCCAGGTCTTTGACTGATAAAGTATTCATAAAAATAGAAGTCAATGTATTCCTACTTAATCCAGAAGAAAAGAAAACATTTTAGCTAGAGTTGGGCTTTAAGCGGAGTAACCCACACAGACCAATCAGAATACACATAGGTCAGTAGAAGAGGGCTAATAACTGGCTGCTATGGGCTAATACACCTATGGATAAGAATTGATTAGGGGTGCACCCTATATTAGGAAATACGATGAAAGAAATGAAAATCATAAATAAAAAGGCAAACCGATACATACACAGTTGGAATAATTAATTATTTTTCACAGTTTTACTAGAAAACTGAAACGTATTCGGTATTATTTCCTGAACAATCCATGGTAGAAAACCCCCCATTAGAGCTACTAGCAAACCACTAAAATGCTTAGGACCACAACAATTCAAGGCCTTTCTATCAAACATGGTCTAAAATGAACGCATCTCCCTGAAAAGATATCCTAAGAACATGGTTAAAATAAGCTAGACTCAATGCAAATACTTACAAAGTCAAAGTCGCCATCTGGAGGAACCTTCCAGTTGTCGGGAAACACATTCTTGGATATATGGAACTGGTCATGGACATTCTGGTTGTGGTTCTCATGAGGCTTATTTTTGGAGTCTTGTTTATCGAAGTAATCCATAAATGAAGGCCGCGGCACTTGAGGAGAAGTTGCATTTCCTTAATTAAAAGAAGATTAAATATATATCAGTGTTACAATGCAAACATCCCCAATAAATACATAAAATGTGAAGAATATTGATCTTACTACAATGTTACTAATGATCCAAATATACAGTTAAAGAGCAATCTTTAGCAAGCAGCAAACTTCGCTGCCACAGGCAGTGGTATCAGTTGAGAGTATTGAATCATTAAAAAATCAATTAGATACCTTCTTCAGAGACCGTAAGGTACAGGGGTACAGGTACTCTTAAAAACAAGGACACACAGGGACTCGTGTACACACATACACAATCACACACATACACACAAAGGTTGAACTTGATGGACCTGTGTCAAATACTATGTAATCTCCTGCAAAATAAGCACACCCTGAGGGTCAAGGAAATTACTTTTTTTTTAACATTACGAAATGTCACAAAATTACATTACATACAACACTCTGCACTGCAATGTGTTACAACGCGCTGCATTGACATGTGGTGAAGTGCACAGCAAGGACATGCTGCATTTTTACACAACACATACCACTACACATGTATGGTGTGAACAGGGCACACACTATACTATAGATTTCTTTGTGCCCTTGTGGGGAGTCTGCATTGATACATGCTGATTAACACAGCTCAATGTACCTAGTGTGAACAACCAATAAGAGGGCAGAGGGAGAATACTTCCACAGGCTTGTGCTATGTAACTTCTCTCCCTCTACTGCCTGCATTACTGATCCTTTTCACACATTCAAAGCATATTTTACCTTTATTGGATGCCATGTAAAACTGCTTAGTACTGTCATTTATTAGTACTTAGTACTGACCTTTTCTGTGTGTGTGAGGCAACTAAGAGGGTGTTCCAGGATCACCACATTACAGACAAAAGACAGTCTGGTTACTAAGCAGTAAGGTCATGATGCCTGTATTTATCTGAATGTATTGTTTTCAATGTTGACTAAAGTGTACCTGTAACAGTTAATTAAAGAAACAGTCTGCCTAATTTAATAAGACACTACTCAGAGGGGATGATCTGCACAATGAATAACCAATTGATTTCTGGTTGCACTGTGCCTTACTCTATAAGCCTGTCAACATTTACATATCCTATTAGAAGTAAGCATGAGAAAAGCATAACACACCATTCAAGTTAATAAATAATAATCCCATATCCAGGAAAGCTTAACTAGCCATATAAAACAAATGTAAGGGCACTAGACTCCATGCAAAACAACAAAATCATGGTTCATATAGTTTAAATGTATACAAACAACAGTAAACATATAACATAAGCTGGAAGGAAGAACTAGGGGTGCTAGCTGTTTATTATGAGAAGGGAGGTCCCGTATTTCCATGTAAATGCATGCTGTCACACTACTCCATGTTCCAGAACCTGCAATTCCCAAATCATGTAAAACATTACGTTTCTTTCTCTCAGAACACAGTGAGCTCATAAAGCACCAAGCTCCAATAATGTACTTTTTTCCCCAGAAAAAGGAGAGTTGAATCCCATGCCTTGATTTATGCTAAAGATCCATTCCTTTCAGATTCAGTGATCCAAAGGATTATGTTAGACAACAATAGCCCTTTATCAGACATATGTTATGGTTCTCCCTAACATGTGCATGCCTCACGAACGGAAATCATGCTTGCTTCATCTAGACAGTGTTGATTCACCAATGGACCGTGCCCTGTATAAAAGGTGTAGGGAAAACTGCAGAAATAGGATATCTGTCCAGTGAGCATAGAGCGAACAGAAGTAGGACGTTGTAAAGTTGTACCTGGAGACAGTAAAGGTAGGGGTGCTATGGATTAGATCATGTTATGTATGTAGAACAGCTTAGAAAGGCAGAGAAGTCATCTTGAATCTGAAGAATTCAGATCAAGATGATGAAGAAAGTCAACTTATCCCAATAGTATTATTTTCCTAGTGAAACATATGGATATATATATAGATAGATGTATATCTATATATATATACATCTATCTACAGATGTGTATGTATCTATAGATACATATAAATGTTTACATACAAAGTATTTTAAAAAAGCCAAAACAAGCAGCCAAGGACAGAAGGGAAGGAAAATGTTAAACTGGGTCTAATTAGTGTTAACTGGAGGTAATTTAAAGATCCTGATGGTGGCCATGCACTAGGAGATTTTCGGTCCGACACTAAGCCCTGGTTCACACCTAGGCGTATTGCATATGCGCGGTTGTCGCGCGGTTTTTTAACCGCGGTTCGCGGTAAAAAAAATTGCGCGCCAAACGCGCGTTTCCGAGGGCTACTTGGCTGTATCCCAATGGAAACGCGCAACAAAAACGGCCCAAAGTAGTACATGTACCTTTTCAGGCGTGGGCCGTTTTGTAGCGCGTTAGGGACGGGCTGAAATACGCCAAGGTGTGAACCAGACCCATTGAATACAATGGGATTTAGATGTTTGAGCGCTTTGTAGAGCGTTCGTCGAGCGTAGAACGCGCTACAAAACGTTCAGGTGTAAACGAGGGCTTACCCTCGTTTAGTTGCAGCTTGACTTCTCCATCAAGCAAAGTCAAATATCGATTTCGGAAATCGTTCATTATGAACATTAACCAACCAATTTTTGACGAGCAACAATTTACTTTTGTGCAAGTGCTGCGTCCTTTCAGAGATATTTGACGAACGAAAACTCCACAGATTCATCAATTTTTCTTCTGGGCAAGAAAATGTTTTCACCACAATATCCAAAAAGGAAAAATGGTGATGTATCATTAATTGTTCGATTTCCGTTCGAAAGACCATTCGTGTTCGATTTCCAAATAAAATTTGCAGTGTATGGCCACCTTTACTGAAACAGAAAATAAAAACGTTCTTCCATATTGTAGAGCTTTGCTGCGTCTCCTGTGAAGATGAGATCGCAGAACAAGCCTGTGATATGCACTAACAGGTGCAACATTTCACAGAGTAAGCCCCTATTCACACCTAAGCGTTTTGCTGTGTTTCCTGAACTGCGACAACGCACAGCATGAAGAATCCTATTATTTTCAATGGTGCCGATTCACACCTGAGCATTGCGACTTCTGTCGCTTGTAGCTCGAAAAAGTACTCAAGCTTTTTTGGGGGGCAGAAACGAACACATAAAAAAGAAAACAAAAGCGACTAAACTGCCTTAAATACACTCCGCTCCAGTGTGAATGAGACACAGTATAATATAAGAAGCCACTGCAGCATTTAATTAACAAACTGCCATTCTAAATACCTCCCGCAATAAAGAGAACTAAAGCCAAACCTTTTTTTTTTTGCCTTTAGTCCTCTTTTGGGTCACAGGAGTACACTGATGTACTCCTGTGACCCAAAGGCTTTTTGGTGACAGTGCAGAGCGGTGCTGCAGCTGGGAAAGATCCCAACAATATTGTCGGTATCTACCCGCTGCCCGATTGACAGCTGTCTCAACCTCTCTAGAGCCAGAGTCAGCTGTGCCCGCCCCCTTTCCCTATCTGTCCCTCCAAAGAGCGCTGGAGGAACAGAGAGAGGAGGGGGGAATCCCTGCGGGGAACAATGACTGCAGGGAGGAGACCATGAGCTGATCGATCAGCTCTCAATCTATAGAGCTAGCATGTGACACCTGCAGTATCACACGCCGGCTCTAAGTATTAGAAAGAGTACATTTTACTCTCCCAATACTACTCCTTTAATAATTGGGACTTTGGCTGTCAAACAGTTGCAGAGGGAACACAGTAGTTTGCACAGCAGGGGAAGTAGATATATGAATATAAAGGACTTAAAGCCTAAATGAAGACATTCAGAAGGTTTATGTGCTGCAGAAGCTTAACAAGTGTATCTTATGGGTAATCTGGTACAGTTAATAAAACGTCATTGACAGAAATGCAGCTTTGTAAACATACTAGATATAACAGTATTTACTTCAGATTTAGTGTTTAACTATGAATAATGCAGCTTTTGTCTTGTTATCCACAACAGCCCATGTTGGCTGGCTTTGTGTGAATTGCCTGCAGGCTCCTAGATCATACTAGTAAACTTTGGAAGTTCACATTTATTTGTCCACTCCCAAGTATATTTTATAACAAAGTATAAATGCTAGAAATGGTCTTAAATTATATATTGTTCTGATTATAACAGACTGCACAACACTGAGGAAACACACAGCAGGATTTATAAAAGCTAAAGCAAAGAACTATGAAGATTTAATTTACAACTTTCCACCCGTTTCCATTTTTCCAAAGGATGCTACAAAACAAATGACAGAGTAACAGCCCAGTACACATCAATTGTACCAGTTTATATAAATGAACTTTAAGATAATAACTGTCCAGATAAAATGATTGCCCTATATCACCAATAAAGCATTTCACAATATGGGAATATTACTCCAACTCGCTCATGCTTGGCTAAAAGTAACAGCTGCCCCTGGAAAACCTTTTCAGCAGAATGTCAACGCCTCTCATCTTCTGGATTCCCCAGAGAAAGTACATGGCATGCTAAGGCAAAGAAGAGCATTTGCAAAAAAAGAAAAAGAAAAGAATTATCTAGTGGAGAAAGCTTTCTGATACACAACTAGGAAAATACAGAGAATAGTAACGGTTCATAATTGGAGTTATAAATAACTTGTCCTCAGAATGCATAACACATGCCTGTTTTCCATCATACACGATCTTGACTACATAAAGATATAACTGTTATTTTACCAAGAGTGCGAAAACAAGCTGCTTTTAGAATCTAAATTCATATTATGGAGTTGTTATATGTTCAGCCTACCCTAAAGTGATAGTTGGAGTCAAAGGTTGAGCCCAGTATCCATTCTTGTTTTTATCATCTTTCTCTGTGCTCAGTTGCATCATAGCCCATCTTGGGGTTCATAGTTTTCACACCTCTCCTGCTTTCTCTTCAAACATGATGAGGGACTATACGGCGACGACAAAGACGCATGAGCACTCCTTATTTCTGGAAAAAAATATGTTTTGTTACAGGTTCAGTCTACCCCAAAGTGGTAGTTGGAGTCACCGGTTGAGCCT